GACTGGGACCGCAGTCAGAACTGAATGACTCAATCCTGTGACAAGTGAATTAGCTTCTACAATTGACTGTGACTACAGGCAGTTTATGAGAAACCTTAGTCTGAACTGTATGTGAACTATAGTCTGAAACCATACAGTAGTTGAGATGCATGTTTTCATTGACTGGAGAATGAAACAGTTATACAAGAAAGTATGTTTAATCCATCCTAAATGGCTCGAATACTTGTCTCCTTTGCAGGAATGAGTAACAGCCCATGCTCGTTGGTGTTTTGACATGTAACGAACAGAAGATAAAACTTTCTGGAGTTCAGAAAGATCGGTTGAGAGAAAATGATTTTTTGCTGCATGTTAAGAATTAGAAAAGTCTTCATCTTAGAGAATGCTCAGAAATCTAGTTCGTGTACCTCTAAGAGTATTCAAACGATCACACAGTTTTATTTTGTATTAATTTCAGGATAAAAGACTCAGCGAATACACAGAAAAACATTTTGAACGAGAAAATATTGAAGTAATAACAAATACTCGTGTTAAAGGCGTGAAGCAAAGAGAAGTTATTGTGCAACACAAAGGCTCAGACGATCTAGTATCTATACCGTGTTCAATTGTTCTATGGGCAACAGGCATTCAGTCAAAACCATTAATAAACAAGTTACGTGAAATAATTGGCATTGACGTACAAAGCAATCGTACGGGTTTAATAACAGATAGGTATTTACGCGTAAAAGGTATTACTGATCATTCAATATATGCAGTGGGTGATTGCGCAACCGTTGAACAACGAAAACTTATCGATTCTATTAAGACTTTATTTGAAGAAGCAGATACGCTGAAAGAGGGTACTTTAAATTTACAAGAATTCCAACAATTAATTGAAAATAAAGTTAACGAATTTCCACAGGTGAGCAGTAGTCGATTGCTGTACTGAGTGGCTCGTTGTCAGAGATGTATGATCATACGATTATACGCTCAGTAAATTCTTACTCTCACAAAATAGCCCTTGTACAAATACTCATCCTCAAAGATATGAATTTATAGTAGAGAAGCTTACCACGACAAGAGTATCAACTACTATCTATACTTTTTCAAACTTGAGAAGAAAAAAAGTTTTATTCCTATACCGTTCTGCTAATCAAAAACGTAATTAATGTCAAAAAATGCTTTTTACTTGGCAAATATAACTTTTTCTAATTTAATGTGTTTTACTAAGAGAATTTTTTTCAAAACTCGATTGCAGCAGAAGAAGGGACTAATTACACTCAAGTAAACTAAAACAAATTATGAATGAATGTTGCTTTAAGTTATTATGATAGTAGGAATGAGAATTCCATTGTAATACAATGGCAACCGTATGGTTAACAAACTAATGAAATATGTTGCGTTAAACCGAAATCCTAATTCTACAATAACAATTTAGCTGTTGTCGTTTCACAAAAAAGCGGGAATATGAAGTGTGGAATTTACTAATATACACGTGCAGAAAATTCTCTAATAAAAAATATTCTGGTAACCGATCCCCATGAGGTTTTTTTGGATTGATCGGTTAATCGCTCCGTCACAGCTCATGACGACTGAGATCAAAACTGCGATTTGACGGTAGACAATCGCGATGAAATCGCAGTTTGCTTTCCAGTCGTCATGAGCTGTGACACCTCGATTAGCCGATCAATCCAAAAAATACTCATGGATCGTTTATGTGTTTTTTCTTAAAATTGTGTCAGTTAGGAACGAAAGTATGTTTTTCTCGTAATCTTTTATACTGATATCCCTTCCTATTAAATGATCTGCAGTGACTAATGACCGTTAGAATGCGTTAAATATGAAACATCTAACGGGTTAATCCACATTTCTGACGTACTAAAATTTAGACATCAACGAGTGTGGACGCAGTATCATCGTTTCCTGTTCGAAATGACGTTCCAACGCGTTAAGTTTGAAAATTTCATCCGTTCCAACGCGTTAAACATGAAACATTTGATTATTTTCACATTTAGCGCGTTCTATCGCTCTTCAGCCACTTTAAATTATTTCATAGTATTTGATAATGTTTCTATGATGAGTCAAAACGTCTTAGTTGGACAAATTTGAAATATGAGACTACTGTCGACATTGAAAGACATATTCTTACTAATCTACTGGCTGCAAACTGTTGTAAAAAAAAGTTCATATAGAAGAAATGAATAGAGAACATGAAACTGACACTCTTCCTCCGCCGCTTTCTTTTAGTCCAATGATGTGTAGTGACAGTAAGAGATATATGCTGAAAATAGAATTCTGAACGCACTACTTTGTAGCTCTTTGTATCGTAAGAACATAAGCTTATGAACGCGATATTTTAAACAAAAATTTCAAGTATTGAAAATAATATAAGAATTTTTTCATTATAGCTTGAAATCTATCAGAAAGGTATCGAAAAAGCATTTTATGCTGCAGATAAAGAACAACGCGGACGTTTAAAATTAGAACATTTACAAGATATATTAGAGAAAGCTGATCAAAAAGTACGTGCATATCCACCTACAGCTCAATTAGCAGCTCAACAAGGTGAATATGTTGCCAATTTATTAAATAAGATGTCCACTGAGAATTCATCTCATTTATCACAACCATTCCAATACAAATTTAGAGGCTCTTTGGCTTATGTCGGAGGTGATGTAGCTGTTATCGATTTTACTGGTTCAACACCATTATTAAATATCTTTAATCTAAAACCGTTATCAGGACGGGGCAGCTATTATTTATGGAAATCATTTTATTTTACCGAAATGTTCACGATGAAAACAAAATGTTTATTAGCGTTCGATTGGGTAAAACTAAAATTATTTGGACGGGATATTAGTCGTTATTAATAATTAATTTTGTTAAATACAATTTTATTATCACTATTTACTTTTGCAAATACGCATATTTCTTCAAAATCATGAGATAATTGTATGATTTATTAAACTATTGAATCTTAGCTTAAAGATGGATATAGTGTAGACAGTACGAAAATCACATTATGAAATGGCTAGAAGTTTGAACAGTTCTCTATGGATCTTCATTCGGTTCAATGTTGAAAACTTGAGTAATCTCAGGAAAAAATCTTAAAAGAATTCTTTAGTGCTAAACTCTCTTGTAAATTCTTTCAAAACACGTCAACCGATACAGATTTTTAGCTGAACAAAATTATGAAAAGAGGAAGTTTCATTGCGTTAATAGTAATCTAGAGGCTCAGAAGCGATTGATTGCAAAAAGTGCTTTTTTCTTCTTTTGAGTAAACATCATGCAACCCATTTTCACAAAAAACAGCAGATAGATGGCTAAAATGCTTGAAGCATGTATTATTACATACGTTTTGATGGTCATTGCATCTTTTGTAGCCAATGATGATGCAAATTCTAATTAGATAGTCGCTATCGAGCTGCTGCTGAAACACAAATTGAACCAGTTAATCACGGCCATGCCATACAATTGTTTGCAAGAATCACTACTTTATCACTAAAACAGTGCTTATTAGTAGTTAACTACGATCATCGGCCAAACTGAATGCATGCCTTCAAAAACTTGAAAGATTTGTGTTTTGAATGATCAGATGATTTTACGTAAAATGAAAGCGTTAACAATCGAACACAATATCCGCTGATAATTATAACTATAACTGCATTGATCAAGTTCAAAAACAACAGTTTCAAAACCATTTGAGGCGCCCGTAATTCAAAGTTTAAGCACTATTTTCTTTTTGACTTTAACAGATATATTCTGGTAAAGGAAATCAAGCTGAACCCGAAAATCATATTTATTTTGCTATACGACCTTTCCTTCTCGATGAAAATTGCGAAATACTGAGAAGTATCCGAAAATCGGAAAAATCTGTACTTCAGATGTTTTGCTGGTTGTTTTTTCTAGTTAAATTTTGGAGCTTTGAAACAGACATTTTTCTGAATCAGCATGTCAAACTGCATATGATAACGTGTCTTTGAACTTCTCCACATCGCTCTTAACCTTTGCAAAAAATTCATTTCTAAGAGAACTCAAAAACGAGACCCTCCGCTCGAAAAAGCATCAAGTCTCTTGCCTTAAGAGATGAAGCCTTGTTTAACACAGTATTCAAACTGCCTTGCAGCGAAAAATATAGTTATAACTGCAGATATCCGAATTTTTGCTGATGGCTCTTGAAGACTCAGTTTTCTGGAAAACCAGTTTTTCAGAAACTGTAGAAAATATCCCAAACTTTTCTTAATGAGACTTGATTGTAGTCCGCAAATTTCTGATTAAAATGAGACATCTCCCAGCTCTAAATGACCTTTCTTTTCAAAGTTATAGGATTGACACGAACATCCCCAAATTAAATTTTTCCTTATTAATTTAATTTAGGAGGAAACTCCAAAATTTAACTAGAAAAAACAACCAGCAAAACATCTGAAGTATAGGTTTTTCCGATTTTCGGATACTTTTCAGTGTTTCGCAATTTTCATCGAGAAGGAAAGGTCGTATAGCAAAATAAATATCAGAATATGTCTGTTAAAGTCAAAAAGAAAATAGTGCTTAAACTTTGAATTACGGGCGCCTTACACGTGAACAAGATAAACGTGAATAATAACGATGATATGGATAATATGATAAGCTGAAACTAGATGCTTTGAATTACGGCTCTTTGTTACTTTCTTTTCAGAGACGACTGTAACCACTACTGAACCTTTTTAGGTCTATAAGGGGAGAGATAAGAGGCATAAGATATTTTGAAAAAACAATTTAATGCTATAGAATTATTCAATATGGCGTACAGGAATCAATAAAACAACTTTGATCGAACGGACAACTACCCTAAATATAGTATAGCGAGTATCGGAAGCTAACGACTCGCTGTTTTCGTCATTCGAAAGAGAAATGAAATAAAAGAAGAAATAAAAATGTGAGATGTATGCTGAAACATTTGGTGATCAGAAGTACATATACTCAAAAGAAAAGAAAAAATAGTTCTTGAAAAATGTAAAAATATGTTATAATACATTTTGTTCTATTAATCATGAATGACGCCCCACTTATTTTCTTCATTCATATGAACAAAAGATATTTCAGGCCTTCACCCACTTCTCAACTGCTTGATCATAAGGCATTGCTGTGTGTTTAATTATTCTCATATTGTTTTGTGCGAAGAAAACGAATGTTTTTCTTTTTCTTTTCTTTTGAATTGTTTGAAAAGAACAGAAAAAATACTTCTTCAAAAATGTGAAAACATGTAATAGTACATTTGTTCCATTAATCAATGAAGCCTTGCTTATTTTTTCCATTCATATGGAAAACAAACAATACGACATTGTCATACGAAAACAAGTCGCAGTTGAAAGGCACAGTTTTACTAGATGTTATATAGTCTCAAACAAGAAATAATTTATAAAAGTATTCGCGAAACTTTGGTGGATAACTTTTAATTTGAAATGTTTAGACGTATTTAGCACAATTCATTTTCATCGTCCATAGTGACGCTCATATTTTGCGCCAAACCCAGGGTATCATATAGAGAGGTGGCCGAAGTCCCAACCGAAAATCTTTTACATTCAACAGCGAAATGAGTATAATCTGATACCTAATTTGTTAATCTTTTTTTGTCATACATGCATCAATGTATGGATCAAATTTATTTACCCCTCATATATGATTACAATGTACTGTGTAGTACACAAACTGTTATGGAGAACTTCGATTGGACTTGGAAATGGTTGGACTTCACGATCTCTGATCATGTGTAGCAAAATTTAGCGAAATTAGACTATTTCTTGAGCTGCAAATATTAACTTTAAATTATCATGCACTAGCAAGTAGAATAAGCCTAAAATAGTCAAGAAACTCTGCTTTCGGGGCGCTTTCAATAAATGCGCGCATATCCCTAGAAACGGTGCCAGAAGTGAAAGATAATGATTCATCAGAAATTTTATTTAAACATGGGATTTTGAACTACTAAAACGTCTGAATTGCCGTAGGAGTGAATGCTTGAGCAAAAAGCGTTTGCTATAAGAAAGTTACATTTAATTTCTATACGACGTCCAATTGCTGGGATCCTTTTGTCAGCCTTGGTTATATAATGTTTTACTCGGACTTTTCTTTGAGAGCATGATGAAATCAACTTTTGTCATAGAAAGATGTCTATGCATGTCAGGAAGACGTTTTAATAGAGATTGTGGTTCAGGTTGGAGGAGAAGTTTCGAGACTGGAAAAAAACAAAAGAAATGTTTTCAAAAGTTTTATAAAGTGATTTTCGTTTCCGATTCTAAAGGTGTCCTTTCAGTTAATAGTTTAGAGTGATGGTTAGATCTGGCATAAAGTCAAGTCCATATTTCTATTTGAAATTAGCCGAGAACTTCTGAGAGAACAAGAAAAACTCGATTTCTAACATTCTATAAATTTCTCGACTAACACTCTGCACTGTTTTAAAATCCTTGCGTATTTATATAAATTTCTAGTTATTTGCATGTAGCTGAAGTTTTCTTTTACATTTCTTATACAAGATAGTCGCTTCTTGCATAGAAATACACTGAAAAAAGAGTTTCGAATGGGCTAGTAGATTGCTATGATTGAGCAAATGACTTAACTATTTATTATCCTATATTGACGAAGAACTTGAAGTTAAAATTGTAGTCTATACCCAAGAAAACATCTCGTAGCAAAAGAAAGCACAAAAAAACCAAAGGCTTCTAAATACAGTGCCACCCTCGGAATAGAGAATAACCGCAAGAAGAGAGTACAGAAGAAAAAAATAACAACAAAAAGCAAGCAGACAAACAGAAACTACACACTTTTATGGATAGGTGAGCGCGTAATGTTCGTTTGAAAGCAGTAATGGGTTGACAAGATACAACAGTGTGTCGCTGGGAATTTCAGTCAACAGCGGTAGGGTAGAAAAAAGAAGAAGCTACATATTCTTTCAGGACTGTCGGTGTCTCAAGCTGCATACTATTCTGACAATTACCATTTAAACGGTCTGATCTTTTGAATGCTAATGAGTTTAGAAAAGGTGGATTGAAAACGGAGAGAGGTGAGAGAAAATTTTTAACTTTGAAAAAAAAGTAATAACCGAAAATGTTTCCTCCGTGTAGATAAATCTAGCAGATTTAGTTTGGTGATCAAAGAGGTTACAGAACCATCAAATTTTTTAGAGATCATACGAGCAGCTAATATAGTAATTTGATCTAAATCTTCTTCATACAATTTACTGTCGTAAACTCTATAAGAATTCTATATAAGTGGATCACACGAACAGTATCAAAAGTTTTTGATAATGTTCATGAACTATATGTGTTTGGTAAAATAGTGCCACGCTCAGAATATTTTTCAAACGTAGAATCATGAATATTATCATCATTGGACGTTTTATTTTATTCTATTTTATTAAACAGATGAAAAATCCATCAAACGAAAACATTTAAGTCGTTCTGTGGGTCTACTAAACACAGTTGATTTCTGTTATCTATTGAAACAAACTTAAGTTCACTACTTGTAGATTATCATTCATTATCCCATTTAACAGATGATTTTACAGATCAGAAGGTCTGTTACCTATCGGGCGAAATAAAATATGCCATTATATTTGGTTACTCACCACAAAAAATAAAATAAAATAATCGAAAAATTATGTAAATAAAAAATTTGTCTCACCTATTACAAAAAAAATTCAGTAATATGATTTGTTCGTGGATGACAAGAATTACAGAAAACGAAATATGGTAGAAACAAAACACAACTACTAGTAATAAAAGAAGTGACTAATATAATTAGAATCACTAATTGGAACTTGGTTTGAGAATTAAATGAAAGTAAACATTTATAATCTTTCGATTCCTAGACATCAGACGCTCAAATTGTTGAAAAT